ATCAAAGGCAAAAGAGCTTACTTAGAAGTAGTTTTCAATAACAAAGATACCCAAAAATATTATGAATACGAAGGAATCAATCTGTTCAAACAAACCCTCTTTGGCTACATTCCTATTAATTTTGCCGCACCTTTCTTTCAGTTAAACTTAGAAATACTCCTATGTGCGTGCTTCTAGGGATTCTTGAAGACAGGTCTGGATCATCTGTTGTTTCAAAAGAGATGATCTATTGGTCTGAGCAGACTGAAGTTCCTTCAAAGAGTAATGGTTTAATTGAAGTGATCAGACCAAGATCCTGGAAGGCTTCCATAATGAGAGCACTTGTCTTTTCTTTATTTCCTATCAGAGTATTTCTAAGTTTAACTGAGAGAAAAGTGTAGCCAAAATTAATAGGAATGTAGTCAAAAAGGGTCTGTTTGAACAGATTAATTCCTTTGTATTCATAATATTTTTTGGTATCTTTGTTATTGAAAACTACTTCTAAGTAAGCTCTTTTGCCTTTGATAATATAGACTTTAGCTATGATTAATTTGTCTTCGAGCTTTGAGGCAAGTGCTAGGATAATTTTATTTGTTATGATATTACTTAAGCTTTGCATATTAAAAATAAGTGCGTTTTCATTTTTAGAATGAATTTTGAACTTAGGAGAGAACTTGACAAAAGTTGCTTTGCCTTTTCTCAGCTTGGTGAACAAGTCAGACCACTGTTTGGGCTTAGAAGTGTTTGCTTTCTCGTTATTTTTAATCTGGCTGTTTATTGTAGTACTAGAGCTTGGAAGAGATACAAGAACATCTTGCTTTCTGGTCATGTGTTTTTTGTCTGATTGCACATGTTTGTTTTGATAGTCTACACATTGAAGATTTTCAGTTGTTGTTTTTTCTTTGTTTGCTACGATCTCTTTTGTTTGAGCAGGAGAAGAGTTTTTCTTGTTGTCTAATAACATTTCTAGTTCAATATTATCAGCTCAGCTGGTATTTTTTTGGAGGTCTTTGTTTAAATTAGTCTCTAGGTTTTTGTTTAAAGTTTCTTCTTGGTTCAAAGAAAAGTCAAAGATTTTGTTTTTAGTATTTTGGTTAGAGAGCCTAGGTTTTTTGTTTCCAGAGCTGTTCATGTTAATAGCTAGTAGTTTTCTTTTCTTGTTTCTTAGACTTGTTGCCTCTAAAAAGTGAATTTTTTATGTAGTTATCTAATATTTTTGATTTGTGCATCTCTCAATTTTGAGTAGAGCTATTGGTAACCCTTCTTTCTTAGTATATATATATATATATATATATATATATATATTTTAAAGGTTGACCTCTTTACACTATTTGTGTTTTTATTAAAAATTTATTTACAGTATAATTACAAAGTTATATAATTGAAAGTATAAGAAGACTAAATATTAAAGTTGATTAATTTACTAAAATATTTAGCTTTTTTTGAGCTAGAATTTTTGCATATTAGATTTTGAAGAATCTTTAGAGATTTTCTGAGTCTAATTTTTGTTATATTTTCTATCAGGTTTTCGGATATAATGTAATTCCCCCATCTAGCCTGGGTATACCAGTACCAGATTTCATATATCGCATTGATGTGTAGCTAGATCGCTACCTTTCTTTTTTGTTTATCCTCTATATTTGTTGCCTGAAGTATTTCACTAATGTTCTTTGGCAAGTTGTTCTCTAATGTATTTGATAAAGCTTTGTAGGTTATCCTCCATATGCTTTTACTAATATTACATTTTAGTGTAAAGTGCTCTAATGTTTGTGTTATATTTGGGCAGTTAGGGCATTTATTCAGCATATCCTGGCCCAGATGCACAAGATGGTAATCTAGTGGGAGAGCTTTATACTGCATTCTCTAAAAGATATCCTTTTTCTTATTGAAAATCCATTTAGTCTTGATCCAGCTAAAGTTTTTGTCACTATCTGTTTGGTTGTTGCTTGGGTTGCTAATATTCATATTTCCTAAAAGGCTTACTGCTACTTTTACTGAGTAATTGTTGCCTGTTAGATTGTCTAGCTTTATATTTTCTAGTGGCCAAAGCCAAGTTTCATCTGAATTTATTTGTCCTTGTATTCTTTTCCAAGCAGTGACATATGGTTTCCATTTTTCTGGCCAGCCCTTTAGTTTGATTGGGTTTTGTTGTAGGGCTAGCTAAGCTGATATCCTCCTTTTGGTTTAGAGCTCTTGCGTAATTATTGCTTTTTCCATTTGTGCCTAGAAAGTGTCACTTGAAAGGAGCTTTAACCAGATTGAGATTAGTCTTGCATCCAACATATTTTTCGGATTAGGGGCTGCTAGGCCTCCTTGTTCTAACTCTAGTTAGAAGATAGAGAATTTTGGTAGAATTCTTGAGTTATTTTTGATCCAGTTTGTAGTTAGCTTATTAATCTTGTTAAGTTGTTTTCTTGTTAGAGGAAGGATATATGCCAGATACCAAATTTTGGATAATATTAGTGATTTGGCTACTAGAATTTTTCCTTTAAAGGATAAGTTGTGACGTGAGAGGTCTTCTATCTTTTTTCTTATTTTTTTGGTTAGTTCTTGCCAGAGGTTTTTTTCTGGGTTGCCTTTCAGGTCTACCTTGTAGCCTAGTATAGTTACTGTATTTTCTGTATCCTTGTTTAAGATTTTAAAGAAATCACTATTCTGCAGAGTTATAACATGTGCGTTCTCTATGATTAGTGCTAGAATAGATTTTGTTTTGTTGATTTTGGAATTTGAAGCTTGCTCAAAAATATCTAAGATATTTTTGAGTTTGTTCCAATCAGAGGTTGAGCTGATACCTATTGTAATGTTGTCTGCATATGCTAAAACTTTAAACAGGATGTTCTTAACCAGAATGCCATTTAAGTTTTTGGATATTGCTTCTAGTAAGGGATTGATTGCTAGAATATATAGAAGTAGAGATAGAGAGTCACCCTGTCTAACTCCTCTTTCAACTCTGAAGGGCTCTGAGATTCTGTTTGAATCTGTAATATATGCATTTTGGGACGTAAAAAGTGAGTTAATGATGTTTATGAATTTTTTTTCAAAATTTATTTTTTCTAGAGTTGTTTCTATAAATTTGTGGTTTATCCTGTTGAACGCTTTTTGTTGATCTAGAAACAGAAGCCAGTATTGTTTTGATTGATCTGGTTAGTTTCTTTGAACTGAGATTATATCCAGCACTGAGTCTGTAATTAATCTTCCTGCTATAAATCCTTGTTGTGAGTTGCTAATCGTGCTATTGCAAATTAGATTTAGTCTGTTAGCTAGAATTTTCATGAAAATTTTTGCATCACAGTTTACTAGTAAGATGGGTCTCCAGTTGTTGATATTATCAAGTTCTAGGTTTTTTTTAGGTATTAGTATGATTATACTTTTGCTCTAAGAGGTTGGGATTGTTCCTGACTCTAAGACGTGGTTAAATAATCTTCTTAGAAGTGGGACTAAGTTTTCCTTGAAATCTTTATAGAATTCATATGAGAGCCCATCTGTTCCTAGGGATTTGTTTAGAGGTAGGCTATCAATAACTTTTGAGATTTCTTCTTCTGAAATTATCTTCATAAGAGTTTGGTTTTGTTTGCTCGATACTTGTACTATATCTCTTGTGAGAGTTGTTATAGTCTCTTGATTAACTTCCTCTGTTTTGTATAACTTCTAGTAGTTTTCCTTTATATAATTTAGTATGTATCCTTGGTCTGTTTTGTTAGGATCTGATGGGTCTCTAACTATGTTGCTACAGGATGCTGAGTGTCTGGATTTGTATTGAGCAAAGAAGTATCTTGTTGATCTCTCTCCTTCTTCGATTCACTTTGTATTGGATTTTATTTGCCATTTTTCTGCTAGTATCACTGTTTCATTCTGTAATTTTGTGTGCAGGTCTTCAGCAACTAGCCGTAGTTCTATGAGATTTGAGTTGGCAGCGATTTTGTTATTAATTTTTTGCAATTTTTTCTGTAATCTTTGCATTGTTTTTTCAGCAGAGATTTTTGGTTTTTGTGCTCTTATAATTGCTTGGATCATGTGTTTTAGTAAGTCCCATTCCTCTATGTTTTGATGCCTAGATAGAGTATCATTAATAGTTGTGTTAGTTTCAGGTTGTTTACTGGTTTTTCTGTCAAATCTCCAGAGGCAAGATCTGTTTTCTGATAATTTTAGTGATAACTCACATTCAACTAATAGATGATTAGAGTTTCCAAAGTGAGTTTTTGTTGATTTGCATATATAGTTGTGATCGCTATCAATAAAAATATAATCAAGCCTTGTAGTCATCATGTTTCTACCTCTTGTGTGTTGGTTAAAAGTGATGAAAGGTTTTTCCTCTGAAAAAATAGCTGTGTCTATAAAATCTATTAGTTTTGATTTAACCAATAGTCTCGATGGGTCGTATTGTGGGGTTGCTTGACTAATGCGATTAACTTCTGGATCCAAATTAGTATTGAAGTCTCCTGCTATGGTATGTTGGTGACCAGTTTGTGAAGAATATAGTTCTATTGTTTATGCTTGGAGGAGCATAAATATTTGTTACTCAGAAGGCTTGATTTCTAATTTCTGTTTGTGTTGAGATTACTCGGCCTTCATGTGAACTTTTGTTATTTTTTAGTTTAATATTTTTTCTCTCTGCTAAAATAGCTATTCTTTCAGACCAGTATGAGTTGTAGCCCCATTGTTGTGCTAGGAAATCTCTGGTCAATTTGTCTTTAAGATTTGTTTCTTGTATTAAAATTAAGTCTAAGTGATAGGATTTTAAGAGTATTAATGTGTTTTGAGCTTTAGATCTATTATTTAGACTTTTTACATTGAGTGTAGTAATTTTAATCATATTTGTTGATATAAGTTGTTGGTTGGCTACACTTGTGAAATCTTTGTAAGTTAGCTTTGGCTTTAAGGAAAGCTCTGAGTAGAGCCTTTCTCTGATTATTCTGAAAAGGAGCTGTGAGTTTTTGAGCTATTCTTCTTTTTACGTTTCTTAGAGGTTACAATATTGAAGGTAATCTCTTCTATATTGTTATCTTTTTCTGAGTCTGAGTTCTTAACCATTTTTGTGAGGTGAGATTCGTCAGCTTCTTTTGTCTTAGTTTCTGTAGTAGCTTTTGTAAAAGTTTTTGTTGAGTTGTCTTCATTTGAAGAGCTTATATTTTGGCTACTAGTTTCTGCAATTTTAGTAGAAGATGTTTCTGCAGGTTCAGAGGAAATTTGCATATTATTGTTGTATAGATTCTCTAGGCTAAAGTTGGCTTGATGGTTATTCTCTTTAGCAGTTTTTTGTTTTTCTCTTTGAAGCTTGAGATCTTTCTGAATCTTTCTAAATTCAATTGAGGCTTTTAGTTTATCACATTCTTTTTTAATGTGGCCTTCTTTTTCACAGTAAAAACAGACTTTTGGTGCATCCCTCCATTCTGTTATAACTTTGTGATAGTCTAAATGAGTAGTTCTGAGTATTCTCTGAGCTATATTAGAATCATCTGTAGTTTTGAAAGTGACTAGCTATTGATCTGATAAAACAGTAGTACCTTCAAAGAATAGAGGTTTAATTGAGGCAATTGTTCTAAAGTCTTGGAATACTTTTAAGATAAGATTATTAATATATTTGATATTGCCTAGTGGTGTATTTTTGAGTTTTACTGTTAGGAAAGTTCACCTTAGGTTAATTAGTAGAAAGCCGAAGAGAGTTTGTTTAAAGAGACAGATCCCTTCTATAATATAAGTTTGTAAACTAGATTTGTTTTAGAAAATTACTTCTAGAAAGGAACGTTTGTCTCTAGAAAAATAAAATTTTGCTGCTATTAGGTCTTCTCCTAGTTTAGCTGTGAGGGCAGCTACAATATCATTTGATGCAATGTTACTTATATTTTGTATGTCCAATATGAAAGCATTTTCATTTTTTGAGTAGATCTTTGGTTTGGGGAGAGAGCTAGTAAAAATAGCTTTTCTACCTTTGAATTTTGAAAATAATTCAGACCATTTTTTTGTTTGTAGCTTATCTTGTGAATTTTCTTGTATAGGATATTCTGTTAAGCTAGGAGCTGATTAGTTCGCAAATTGGTTTGTTATGCTTAGTTGATCTTTGATGTTCACATGATCAGACATGTTTGTTTTGTTTGTTAGTATTGTTTTTATTGTTTCTATAGTTTTTTGACATGTTTCTTTGTTTTCTTTATTCTTTAAAGAAGAAATTTTTTAGTTCCTTCTTCTACTTTGATGTTGTCCTCAACTTTTTTAGCTCAGTTTAATTCTTTTGTTTTCGCTAGTTCAGTTTTTAGTTTATTTGTATTCCTTGTGGATATTTTATTACTTGAAATTACGCTTTTTTCGACTTTTTCCTCTTCTGTTGAGAGGTCAAAGATTTTGTTGTCAGTTTTATCATTTCCGATCTTTGTTCTTTTGTTACTTAAGTTGCTTATAACTAAATCTGAGAGCCTTTTTTTTTTCAGTGTAAGAGCCTTAGCTCTTCCTGTTATGTCTTGAGGAAGATACTTAAAGTTTGATGTTTTAATTTTGTTTTTTCAGAATTTTACTGATGATGTACCGGAAAGAGTTTTATTGGCAACTTTTAGTTTCACAAAGTAAAGTTTAACCAAAACGTTTTATAGGCTTCTTTTACTCTCAAGACATCTATTGAGTAAAGGTGATCTCTATTGATCTCTATCATTAAAAACTTTGCTTAGAAAGCAACTTTTAACAAAGCAAGTATAGTAATAAGTATATACAAGTTAAAATTCAGCTTGTTGAGCAAAAATAAAAATAGAATAAAGTCAAAAATAACAATTTAGAAAGGTATATTACCGTAATATGAGTGTAATATGTAACTTAAGATCTTAGTTTATTGAAATAATATTTATTATATATTGTAAAAATTCTAGAATAATCAGCTAATTATATTTATTTATTTTTTTTTTAAGATACGATTAAAGATTTAGAAGTTTATATATATGTATAACTACATGCTGTTTTATGTAATTTAAACTATGAGGCTTTCTTTATAAATTAATGAATAAAATAAACATAGTCGTTTTACTTGAACAAATCTAATTAATTTTGTACAATATATATTTTAAGATTAGTTAAAGTTTCGATTTTTTTTCTTTTGAATTCATGATTTAGTTGGCTAATAATCATGTGACAATATGTATATTGTTTATATTTATTAATCAATCAAATCGAATGTCTGCTATGCTATCTGGAACTGTATCAAAATCTTTTATCTTATCTTTCTTCTTATAAATTCCCATCTAATTTTACCATACAACAAAAGCAAACACTATCATGACAAGCAGCAAATTATTTAGTAAATAATAACATTTTATATAAAAAGAATAAAAAGTATTCTGACAATTTTTATTGAGTTATAACTCTTCTGAAAAGAGATTACTTTTTATTTAATTTATATTCTTCACCTCTTGGAGGACATTTTGAAACAAAAAGAACTATTGAATGAGTAATAGAAAAATATTATTAGCCTAACATGGGTAGAGACATTAAAAACTATATTGAAACTTGTGATGTATGTCAAAAGGCCTCTGGAAAACCAGGAAGATTTCAAATAACTAAACCGATCAAAGCAACCTCTCCTTTTAATCAAATTGAAATAGATTTTGTAGGACCTCTTGAAGTAACTAACAAAGGGAATAGATGGATAATAGTAGCCACTGACTATTTTACAAAGTGGCCTGAAGCAAAAGCAGTCCCAAATGCTACTGCAAAAGAAACAGCCAAGTTCTTATATGAGGATATTATTTGTCGACATGGTGTTCCAAGTATAATCCAATCTGACAGAGGTTCATCTTTTCTAAACCATACAATAGAACTATTAAAAGAAGAAGTAGGGTTTAGACATCATTTATCAGCTCCTTATCACCCCCAAACAAATGGTTTAGTAGAAAGGTTTAATGGTACTCTTTGTAGAATGATTAAGAAATTTGTTAGTAGTGAATATGAATGGGACCAGTTCATTCCTTCTGTTCTTATGGCATATAGAACTCAGAAACAAGAATCTACAAAATATACTCCCTTTTTCCTAATGCATGGAAGAGAAGCCCAACTTCCTATTGACTTAGAATTTTCAATACTGCTGCCAGAAGAACCTTATGAACAAGCTCTTGAAAGAAGAATAAGTACAATAATTGGAGTATTTAAAGATGCCTTGATTATTTCTGAAAGAAACTTAGATAACTCACAAGAACAAACAAAACAACAGCAAGAAAAACTTCAAAAACTTTACAAATTCGAAATAGGAGATATTGTTCTTGTCTATGACTCTTCTAAACAGAATATTCATGGAGATAAGTTTACCAATCGATAGTTAGGTCTTATGTGGATATCTGGCAAAATAGGAAATGATATTTATAAAATAAGAGACCAATTTGGAAAGGAATACAATAGTGTACATCATGCATCTAAAATTAGACATTATAAGCAAAGGAATACAATTACACAAAACTAAATTGTTGATCACTTAAATAAGCAAAGATCTAAATTATCATTGATCAGAAATTCTTTATAAAAGTAGACCAAATTTCACTCAGTTTATTCATAATCCAAACTTTTAAAAATGAATACTCCCCTCCAAAAGGCTCTTCTTGAAGTCCATAAATTATTACAACCACATTATAACGATATTAATATTAAGTTTATGGAAGATAAAATTCAAGTTTTCTAACACGATACTTTACAAAATGACTGATAACAATTTAAAGTTTAAACCTTTTCTTTTAGATATCGATGAAGCATTTATTAGTCTTGACTATGACTATTATATTGAAGATGATGAAAATACTCATATTCAATTCCTAGCTGACCCTAACAATT